AATAAAATTTCCTTATCAGATGAATATTTATAGAAGCGCTAACATTAACTGATTTCTTATAACAGGTATTCATTTTTGGAGCCAAAGAGACCTTGATTTAAATCCCAACTCTGCAATTTAAAGGCGATGGAACTTCTTGGCCTTTCCACTTCAATTCCTCAGATGCAAACTGGGGAGAATATGCCTACCTCACATTGTTGACAAGAGGACTAAAATGAGATATGCCATGTACAGCATGTGGCATAATATTAGTCGGCACATAACAGAAATTTAACAAATAATAGAGCCTTCTCCTTCCTCTTAGAGCCCTTTGAAAATAGAAAAATTATATTTTTTACATTTTCCGGTCAAAGACAATAGTCAATATAAAAATCTCATTTTACAGTTGCCTGTGCTCCCTTCTCTTTTGCAAAGAGCATCTACCAAGCTGAGCCACATAACGGTAGTGGGGGCCACATTTGTTTGCCCCATGGTACCATTAACTCTGAGGATTCATGTTTTCATGTTCCCCTAGACCCAGCCAAAGAAAAAAAGTTGGTTTTGCTTTTCCCTGTAGTCCTTATGTGATTATAATTGCCCCCCAATTCTCTGCTTGGCACCCAAAACCCACCCCTTCAGGGCAAATGAGTCAGCAAAGGTCGTTCCTGAGTACAGATTCTATAGCTATGAAAGACTTCCCTGTTTCTCCTTCATCACTCACCTTCCCATCTCTGCCTCCCACGGCTACACCACTGAGTTTGAGCCTTTTAAGATCTTGGTTACTGAAGATCAAGATGAAGGAGCTTGGTATTCAGGCAAGGAATTAATCCCAGAGGTGAAAAACAATATAAGAAGAACCAAAATTTAAAGGTCACTCTGTAACCCAAGACTTAGCCACAGTCCAGCTTGACTAGTCAGGCTGAGTGTGACCTCCCTTAGTGGGTGTGCACAACAGCTGGTCAATCAATAACCTTGCCCTCATAGTGAGGACAGAGAATCAAATGCCTGACTCATGTGGGTGAGGCTAGAGTCAGCAGCAAGCAAAAGAAGAGACAAAAACAGAAACAAAACACCTGCCAGTTTAGGTATAAATTGATTCCCTCTTTATCGTGGAATAACAATTCTTGGTGACATTTTCTAAAGTGCTTTGTTCGGCCATCATTTTAGCAATGGTTCCAACTGACTGAAATCATTCTGGAGAGCACTGATGGTTATTAAACTACCCTCCCTGGCAGAGGGATATAGAAAGACATTATTTAATACACACTGAAGTCCAGATCTCCAATGGTCTAAAAGTCATTTTCAAATACAAGTGGAAAAAGTAAACAGTTTTTGCAAAGAAAATTGTTGTCTCAAGGAATGTATGTTGTTCAATGTTAATTTGGAAATAAATTTTACATTTGGTATTTTTTCCACTGAAGCTGGAAAATAAACTAATGACGTTCTGTCAGGTGGTAAAGAGCACAAAGTGGCTTGTTTTCGCTTTCTACTAAATATTCCATGAAGAGTTAACGTTGTTTTTTGCTTTTTATGTTTATCAAACACTTGCTTTTTTAAAAGAAATAGGCAAAACTTTTTAAACACCCATTAGATTCTCCTACTATGATGAATAATTTAACTTTGCCTCTTACATTAAAAGAATATTAAACCGGGGTAGTTTCTTATCAGCATTTGAGCATCCATAGTAGTCTATGGCTCTGCCAAATTAAAAGAAAACAGAGCCAGCCCTGATGGCCTAGTGGTTAAAGTTCTGTGCTCTCAGCTTCAGCAACTCTTGCTCAGCTCCCGGGAGCAGAACCACACCACTCGTCTCTCAGTAGCCGTGCTGTGGCAGTGTCCCACGTAGCAGAACTAGAAGGACTTACAACTAGAATGTACAACTATGTACTGGGGCTTTGGAGAGGAAAAGAAAAACAAAAAAAGAGGAAGACTGGCAACAGATGTTATCTCAGGGTGAGTCTTTCCCAGTTAAAAAAATTTACAAACATAATGTTCCCAAATCAAATAAAATTTCTCTACTTTAAAATGTAGAATATGACTGTAAATGCATGAATGCTGCTTATGTTAATGCAATGTTCTGTACCAAAAGAGATCATAGTGGAAGAGATGAGGAGGTTAGCAGAGGCTGGGGCCCTGACCCATTCATTTAGTTTAGCCAGAGGCAGGTTTCAATAGAATATTGGATGGAGAGAAGCAGCATGGATTTGAAGGGTGGACATTTATTGCCCAGTAAACTATAAGCCCAGAAAAGAGGTGAATATAATAAAGAGATCTTGTATATATATCTCCTGTCAGTTCTGTTTCTCTGAAGAACCTTGACTAATGCAGGGCCCAAGGCCTGTGCCCAGCATGAACCACCTATGGAAACCCTATCTGAACAGAGACCGCTGTCTTACACCTGAGTCCATAAATGTGATCAGATTTGGTATATACTTTAAATCTTGAATACATTTGATGGTAGAATTGATAAAGAAATGTTGAAAGAGATTCTGGCACATCTTAGGAAGAGGTGGTCCTGATCTGCTCCTGCCAATCCTGTAAATCCATGGAAGGATCCTGAATTTAAATAGAAATTAGTGAGGTCCATGGGACCACCTTCAACAGGCCATCAATCAGCCATTGTTACTGCGGATTCATGAATTGCTGCCAACCTGGAGTAGGGGGCTACAGGTGGTGTATAACCTCATTCTTGGTTGAAGGGAGTGATGACACTAATAGATATTTATGAGTACTTACTGTGTGCTGGACACCATTCTAAGCACTCCACATGCACTAACTCATTTAATTCTCACAGCAACCACTCGAGGTAGGTGCTGTTATCATCCCCATTTGACAATTGAGGAAACCATCCAGGAAGGTTAAGTAACTACCCAACACCACACTCTGGGCAGGTGTGTACCGGAGCCGCATCTTAACTGCCACACTGTACCCCTTTCTCAAAGTAGCGAGGAGTAACAATATTTGCAAGAAACCAGACAAATTATTCCCCACCCCAACCCAAATTGCAAGAAAAATCCACATGTACTATTTTCTTATTGACTTAGTGCCCTTCTCAGAGCCCAGTAGGGGTAATAAGTTATATTAAATTACTATGCCCCTGTTCCTGCCACTCAGTTATTGTTTGTAGAAAACATTGTCACTTCATTAACACTTCATAGTAACTCTCTGTTAATTGACCTCAATGATTTGAATTGGTGCGTTAGAAAAAGAGCCGATGTTTCCCTTTGAGTCCAGAGGCAGAAAAAGACCAATTCCCCAGCTCAGCAGTCAGGCATTCCCCCTTTCTCATGAGAGCCTTTTTGTTCTATTCAGGCTTCAACAGATTGGATAAGCCCTGACTACAATGGGGAGGTCAATCTGCTTTACTCAGTCTTCTGATTCAAATGTTAATCTCAACAAAAAACACCCTCACAGACACACACAGAATAATGTTGGACCAATATCAGGCAGCCCTGGGCCCAGTCAAGTTGACACATAAAATTAACCATCACAGGGCCAGCCCTGTGGCACAAGCGGTTAAGAGTGCGCGCTCCACTGCGGCGGCCTGGGGTTCGCCGGTTCAGATCCCGGGCGCGCACCAATGCACCGCTTGGCAAGCCATGCTGTGGCGGTGTCCCATATAAAGTGGAGGAAGATGGGCATGGATGTTAGCCCAGGGCCAGTCTTCCTCAGCAAAAAAAGAGGAGGATTGGCAGATGTTAGCTCAGGGCCGATCTTCCTCAAAAAAAAAAAAAGAGAGAGAAAAAAAAAAATTAACCATCACAGGCCCATCCTCTCCAGCAGGTGTGGACACTGCCAGCATACAGACTTCCCAGGGCCTAAGTAGGTAGAACTAGGGTGACTATCCCGGTTTGCCTGGGACTGAGGGGGGGTTTCCAGGATGCAGGTTCTCAATCCCAGGCAAACAGGGATGACTTGGTGGAAACCTATCAGCAGCTACCTCCTGTCACTTCACTCTTTTCCTAATCATCTACTTACCTAACTCATAAACTTCCACCTTACTATTTGACCTCTGATCCCAGTCCTTTGTAAAGAAATTAGTTCCTTTCCAGGAAAAACCTTGGTGTAAGACAGTAATGAATGCCCTGTGGACTTTGGATCAGAAGCTACACTCCTAGATTCACTCTCCCTGGGGCCGCCTTACAACATGCAGCTGGCTTCCCACACGCTCCAGTAGAGGGGAATTAAGCTCCATCTCTTGAGGGGAAGAGTATAAAGAATTTGCGGCCATATCTTTATACCACCACAATGGCTATGGCAAATTTTATACATTTCATAAAACTGCCTGTGTCCAGCCATCTGGAAACTGAATCAGTAAAAATTCCACATGCTTTCACCAGAAGCAGACTTCTCAAAATTGTTCAGCTATGATCTAGTCAGCAGTTTCTGCTTGAGGGAAACTGCACTCTTCTGCTGGCATAATTCAACTCCAACCTACTGACATCTTGAAAATATTGAAAGTCTCCGGAAATACCATTCCTGTGAGTTCTGCTTTTGAAACAGAAGAAATAACACATATTGCATAGTCGACTTCAGGAATGGTACGTCAATACATTTGCCATTATCCCATATGTTTGTAGGGTCATTAGCAACTCAGAAAGACAAGTACTGAAAAAGAAAGGACCTAAACTTCTCATCCATCCATTGAACTGGGCCACTACCTCCATGTTGGAAAAGGGTAGTTGTGTGCTTTCCTGTTTCTGCACATGCCTTTCATTTCTTTTACTTCTTTTCTCATTCTAATCTATCTCACATATAACTGCGTTTTTGAGAAGGATGGGGGAGGGGAAGGGGGAAAGACAAAGGATAATCTTTATTTTTATCTCTGGGCTCAAAATTCCACTAAAGGTGTTTTCCCAGAGTGGTTAAGATGAGGGTCTAGTAAATTGTTTTATTTAGATAATTACACCACTATATTTAGTTGAGGCAATAGGGCTTTCTTAAAGCCAACGTGGCTTTTTATTTTGTGGTCTGCTTTGCAACTTATATTTCTATATATTCTTTTTCAGGTAGGTGTGTGGTTTTTAACCTCTGATCTCCAGCAAGTACTGCAAAGAAGAAAAGACTCTAAAGAATCAGTCACGTTTCCTGTCTAGTCCAAGTAACATCCCTGTCTTAAAACACAAGCAGGAGAAATGAAGCACATTATCAATCTATATGAAAACATCAATGATACAGCAAGAAATAATTCAGACTGTCCTCATGTGGTTTTGCCAGAAGAGATATTTTTCACAATATCCGTCATCGGGGTTTTAGAGAATCTGATCATCCTTCTGGCTGTGATCAAGAATAAGAATCTCCAGTCACCAATGTACTTTTTCATTTGCAGCTTGGCCATTTCCGATATGTTGGGCAGCCTGTATAAGATCTTGGAAAATATCCTCATCATGTTCAGAAACATGGGTTATCTCAAGCCTCGTGGCAATTTTGAAACCACAGCAGATGACATCATTGACTCTCTGTTCATCCTCTCCCTACTTGGGTCCATTTTCAGCCTGTCTGTGATTGCCGCTGACCGCTACATCACAATCTTCCATGCTCTGCAGTACCACAGCATTGTGACCATGCGCCGTGCCATTGTTGTCCTGATGGTCATCTGGACATGCTGCCTGGGCAGCGGCATCACCATGGTGATCTTCTCCCATCACATCCCCACAGTGATCACCTTCACATCGCTGTTCCCTCTGATGTTGGTCTTTATCTTGTGCCTCTATGTGCACATGTTCTTGCTGGCTCGTTCCCATGCCAGGAAGATCTCAACCCTTTCTAGAGCCAACATGAAAGGGGCCATCACGCTGACCATCCTGCTCGGGGTCTTTATCTTCTGTTGGGCCCCTTTTGTCCTTCATGTCCTCTTAATGACATTCTGCCCAAATAACCCCTACTGTGCCTGCTACATGTCCCTCTTCCAGGTGAATGGCATGTTGATCATGTGCAATGCAGTCATCGACCCCTTTATATATGCCTTCCGGAGCCCAGAGCTCAGGGACACATTCAAAAAGATGATCTTCTGCAACAGATATCAGTAGAATTATTGACCCCTGATTTTAGGAGCCACAGGGATAATATTGTCAAGTGACAGAATAACATGACATACCAACAAACACTAATGCTCCCGACTGTCCTTTCCTTTCCTAACGTGCATGAGGGTTATTCCACTTACTAATGTTTGTAATAGCTCAGTTCCATGTGAACAGTCTTGCTGTAGGTACAACTTTTATAACTAGAGAGATAAAATAATGTACTTAAAAAAAGGACAGAATACAAAGCACATACAACAGGAATACAAATTTGAGAGCTTTGGGCTAAGGCAAAATCTTGTTCTTCTACAGATATCTAGCAAGCCTATCACTGGAGTGGCCTTTCCAGGCTGGAGGCCATTGTAAGCAATTTCTAGAAGTTAAAGTACCAAGACAAGTACTCAGGGCAGAACTACAGGGTCTCTGTAAGCCAAAGGTGCCAACAAATTGCTGCAGCTGAATTTGCACTATGTTACAGAATCTCTGCCCCACCTCCCTCCCTCTGGCCTGCCTGCTTTATTGTATGCATCTCAAGTCATTTTGGAAGGAGGCAAGGTATAAATTATAAATGTCAAATAACTAGCTTTGAGTTTCCAATAATAAAGGAACCTTCGCTGTTAGTCTTCTTTGCTCACTCAGTATCCCATTGGCCTTAAAATCTCTTCCTGGTTAGAACTCCTCATACTTTAGAAGTATGAATTTCAAAAGAGAAAATAAAAATTTAATCCATTTCCTCCCTATGGGGGAAGAAATAAAGGCCAGAGGAAAATTGCGACTATTTGAAGAAGGTGTAACCAATCTTTGTGTATTTGTCCAAATGTACAAGTACAGGAAAAGAGGCTCCAAGCCCCAATATGTATTCTGTGGAATAAGTAGAGTGTGTAGGTGCGTGTGTGAGTGTGTGTGTGTGTTCACCACACTTTTGGACCATGGGGAAAACCAAGACCAAAGCAACACTTCAAGAATAGTGCTATTATTGAGACCCAAGCCATTGACTGATGAAAACATTTTACCTCCTCCCACAGATGAGGCTGAGAGGCAGATCCAGTCACTGGAAAATTTCACGCTGCCATCAGCCACAAGAAAGACGCCAGATATTGAAAAGTGGCTCCCCCAATGGGAATAAAACAAACACTATTTGTAAGTTTATTAGTTTTTAATAGCTACAAATAAAGCCTAAAGAAGCAGCAAATTCTGATTATAAGTCCTTGCTAAGTTGGAGAGTAATTTAAAGGGATGAGAGATGAGATAGAGAGAGAAAAGAAGCCAGTTCTTCAGATGCACAGAGCATGGTTGCTTAGGATCCACTGAGAGTGACCGTGTCTTCTGGAAGAGGCAATACTTGGCCCTCAGTAGTGTTTTCCCCGAGCTGCTGAGAGAAGCTGAGAGGACTGCTGGTCTGCTGATGGGTTCCATGTTAGATGTGGGGAGGGACAGGAGCTTAAGCAGCAGAGAAGAATGCACAGAGTTACAGGGAAGGCAGCTGCAGGCATGTTTCTAGACAGCCTGCGTCACCGATTGGAGACAAAACCCGTAGTGTGTCTTCTTGTCCTCTGTGTAAAAATGCTTCTTTGGTCCTTCCCCTCACAAAAGGATGATATTACTCTAATGTAATTAACCCGGATTTATTAATATATAAAATACTATATGTAAGTTTGTTTTCCATAAAATCTAAAGCACAACCTTATGATTTTTAAATGTTATCTCTACCCCTAAAAGAACAATGTATAGCACATTTTTCTGTGATTAAACTGAGTAATTTCAATAAAATGTAAACTTTCTTTGATGTTGTGCTGTTCTATCATACTATAGAGGTGGGTAGTGCAATTTACCCCCAATCATAAATGGTCCTAAACTGCCATGCTTATTGAATTCTGCCTTTGGTAACAGCTCTGCTATCGTTCCTAAGCTCTCAGCTGTCACATCTCATTGTTGTCAGAAGAAATCACCAAGAAATTCCTCCACCTCTCATTGCCTTCAATTTGTTGCATTTAATCTAAGAAACAAAACCAAGAAGGCTATTCTAATAGTATATAAAGCAAAAATACAGACTGAGAGCTAACTCAGAGATATTTTCCATTCTAGGTCCTCAGCTATATTCACATCAGATCAGGGTCTGTAGTACTCATAGTTACTGGAAAAATTATGGTTTCCTACCTCTACCTTCAAATGTAATTCAAACAAAAACAGTATCAAACTGCGCACATTTGAGTAAGGAAGATCAATAAGGTCAGATTTTTCCCGTGATTACCGCTTCAATACTTTTATCAAAATATCAAATTTTTAAGCTGCTTTGTTGATGCCATAAACATGTGTTCAGTTCTGTTGATGATGAAGCCTTAGATCAGACAGCTGAGAATGGTAGGAAAAGGAAGTGCTATAGCTGACTTGATGTCCTCTCTAAATGCAGGACTGAGCCCTCCCTAATTAAAATGGAGAGAAGTTTCCTCTTCCTCGCCTTCATTTGTCCATTGCTAGGGTCTGAATATTTGTTTTCCCCAAAAATTTATAGGTTGAAATCTTAACCCCTGAAGGTGGTGGCATTAGGAGGTGGGGCCTTTGGGAGGTGATTAGGTCATGAGGATGGAGCCCTCATGAATGGGACTAGAGCCCTTATAAAAGAGGCTCCAGAGAGCTCCCTTGCCCCTCCTGCCATGTGAGGACACAGCAAGAGAAGGCGCTGGCTATCACCCAGGAAGAGGTCTCACTAGAGCCCGACCATGCTGGCACCCTAAGCTTAGACTTTCAGCCTCCAGAACCATAAGAAATAAATTTCTAGTGTTCATAAGCTAGCCAGTCTGTGGTATTTTGTTATAGCAGCCCGAACAGGCTAGGACACCCACCTAGTCATGGAGAGACATGAGTCAGTAGTTCTATAAACACCCCATTCCTTCAGCCACATAGTCACTGGGTTGACGTAAGAAAAGGGCTGAGAGAGCAGTCAAAGAGACTCCTGGACCATCTGGGTAAGACCTCCTGAGAAGCAGGAGCAAATCAGTAAATGAATCAGGAAAAATTGTCAGAGTTGATGTTTCCCAGGCTGTGGGAGATCTAGTAATAATACTAACAATAACAGTGATAACAGTACATATCTATTACTGAGTAGTTACTATAAGCGAGGTATTATTCTAAGAGCTTTGCATGCTTAATCCTCACAACAACCCTAAGAGTAGACGCTATTGCTACCTTCATTGTTTTTAGATGAATAAACTGAGGTTCAGAGATGTTAAGTAACTATGCATTGGCAGATTCTAAGTAGTCCTTGTGATGCCTGCCTCCACGTATTTCACATCTCTGTGTAACTCCTGCCCCTTGAGTGTGGGCAGGACTGTGATTTGCTTCTAACCTATGGAATTTGGCAAATGTGATGAGATATCACTCTCATGCTTATTTTACATTATATAAAACACCCGCTTGCTAGCAGGCTTGTTAGAGAGACTCCGCTTGCTGGCTTGACAAAGTAAGCAGACATTCTGGAAACCCCATGTGGCAAGGAACCACAGGCAACCTCTAGAAACTGTGCACAAATAAAAGGGAAGCTCTTAGCCCTGAGCGCTGCTGACAGCCACATGAGTCTGGAAGCAGACCCTGAGCATCAGGTGAGAATGTAGTCCAGCCCACACCTTGATTCAGCCTTGTGAGATCCTGAGCAGAGGCTCCAGCTAAGCCATGCCCAGTTTTATGAGCCATGGAAACTGTGAGATAACAAATGTGTGTTGTTTTAAGCCACTAATTACGTGGAAATTTATTATGCAGCTATGGAAAAGGGATATACTTACCCAGCTCAAGTTAGTGAGTGCCAGAGTCAGGAGTCAACTCCAGGCTGCCATCTGGCCCCAGAGCTCTGTGATGCTATGATGCTCCACATGCAAACAATATTGTTTGTCATATTGTTTGTCTCATTCTATGCCAGGACAAGCAATCTGAGAGCACCTGATCAATTTAGGTCCCAGGATATTGTTGAAAACAATGGAACAATCAGTTAGCAATTAGTGATGCTTCACAGCTGGGTACGGTCAGGGAAAGAGCTGTCAAATAGAGCCCTGTCAAAACCACCATCATCCCAAGATGACCATAGGCAAACCCAAGGCTGAGGAGAACATCAGAGGCATAATACTGCAGCGTGGGGTAGGGGGTAGACTTCACGAAAATAATCCAGCCAGTCACTAAACAAATAAACAAGCAACTAGGAATAACAAGCCCCAGAAGGGGGAAGGGGAACCAGTACCCAGACTTGCTACATTGTACTATCTAAAAAGTGCAGTGCCCAGCAAAAAATTACAAGACACGTAAAGAAACAGGAAAGTGTGACGGACCAATGCACCAGGAAAAAAAAGCTGGCAACAGAAACTGCCTATGAGAGCAAACAAATGTCAAATTTAACAAAGATGTCAAATTAGCTATTGTAAACATGTTCAAAAAATTTTTTTAAACCATGATTAGAGCAAGAGAAGGTGTGATAAGAATGTCTTATCAAATAGAGACCATCAATAAAGAGATAGAAATTATTTAAAAGAACCAAATGTAAATTATAGAGATTAAAGTACAATGACTGGACAATTAAAAAAGAATGCAGGAATGATACAACAGAAATGATGCAGTAGCGAGCTCCAAGAATTGGTCCCTCCACTGAAGCAAAAACTGACTGAATAAAATCTTCTGGGGCCATCCCAGTGGTTTAGTGGTTAAGTTGGCTGCACTCTGCTTCGACAGCCTGGGTTCAGATCCTGGGTGCAGACCTACACCACTCATCTATTGGTGGTCATGCTGTTGCAGTGGCTCACATAGAAAAAGAGGAAGATTCGCAGCTGATGTTAGCTCAGGGTGAATCTTCCTCAGCAAAAAATAAAAATAAAAATTTTCTGAACTCTAGAATCTAATTAAATACAGCAACTAGGAAGTGCTTAAGGAAAAAAGAGGCAGCTAAATTTCAGTAAGAAAGCATGATTGTATTTTTTTTCAGTTTTATTGAGGTATAATTGACATACAGCACTGTATAAGTTTAAGATGTACAGCATAATGCGTTCACATACATATATTGCAAAATGATTACCACAACAAGTTTAGTTAACATCTGTCACCTTATACAGTAACAAAATTATTTTTTTCCTTGTGGTGAGAACTTTTAGAATTTACTCTCTCAGTATCTTTCAAACATCCCATACAGCAATGTTAACTATTGTCATTATGTTGTACTTTATATCCCAGTATTTATTTATTTTATGACTGGAATTTTATACCTTTTGACCACCTTCACTCAATTCCCCCACCCTGTGGTGGCATTTTTGATTACTTACCTACCATCCCCCATTCCCCAGCTTGCTAGTGGCCATGGAAACAGTGGCTCACATTCCTG